AAATACCAACGAACATGATTTAACAGACAGATACAGCCTTACACATGCTCACCAGTCTGTGACAGGCAATTTGGAACTCAGTTTCCTGGCCAAGTGACTGGGAGGGATTCATATTTGTTCCCATTCCCAAGAAGAGGGATTAATTAGACTAGAAATTATCAAATAATATCATAAACATCATATGCAAATAAAATATTGATGATTATTAAAAAGTGCCTCGAATAGCACATCTACAGAGAACAGCCAGGAACCCAAACTGGATACAAAAGAGACCACGGCACCAGGGATATCATCGCTGATGTTAGATCAATCTTGGATAAAAGCAAAAAATGCCCCCTCAAAAAAATCTATTTGCACTTTATTGACTATACAAAAGCATTTGACTGAAGAAAAAAAAGCATTTAACTGTATTGATCATAGCAAATTGTGAAATTGTGCCTAACACTGAGAAAAAGGGGAATCCCAGAACACTTAATTGTACTTATGCAAAACCTATTCCTAGAGCAATAGGCTGATGAACAAACAAGCAAGAGAATATTGCACAGTTTAAAATTTAAGAAAAGGTATGTGTTAGGGCTGTACACTTTCTCCATACTTGTTTAATTTTCATGCTGAGCAAATCATTAAAGAAGCTGGAGTTTATGAAGAAGAATGTGGCAACAGGACTGGAGGGAGATTGATCAACAACCTGCATGATGCAGATTACACAACCTTGTGTGTTGAAAGCAAAGAGAACTTGAACCACTTGCTTCAGAAGATCAAGGCCAGTGGCTATAAATATGGATTACAACTCAACATCAAGAAGACAAAAATCCTCTCCACTGGGCCAATAGACAACATTACAATAGATGGAGCAAAGACTGAAGTCATTGATGATTTCTCCTTACTTGGATTAACAATCAACATGATTGGTACCCGCAGTCAAGAAATCAAAAGACATTCTACATGGGGAAAATCTGCTGCCAAGGACCTCTCCAAAGTACTAAGGAGTAATGGTGTTGAAGACTAAGGTTCACCTGATTCAAGTCATGATCTTTTCAATCACTTGCTATGCATCTGAAAGTTGAACAATGAATAAGGATGACAGAAAACAAGTCAATGCCTTTGAATTGTGATGTTGGAGAAGAATAGTGGATATCCTGTGGACTGCCAACAGAACAAGCAAGTATGTCTTGGAGAAAACTCAACTAGTGTGCTCCGTGGAGGAGAAGATGGGGAAGCTTCATCTCACATACTTTCGACATGTTATTAGGACTGGCGCATCCTTGGAAAAGGACATCATGCTTGAAAAGATAGAAGTACCAGTCTTGAATGAAAAAAACTGGTAAAAAATTGACAGAAAAATGAACTACATGTAAAGTTAAAACTTCAGTATAATAAAAACATTAAAGACTTGCTATCAATATGCATCATTAATTTTGTGGGTTTAATCTAAAACAGATCCTAATATCTTTTTTCTGCAGCCCTGTTGGATGGCTTTGAATTCTCAACCTTTAGGCAAGAAATCTGGAGTAAATTATCACAAGCTAGACATAATCTAAAAAAGATTTGAGCAAATAAGAAATATTGTTTCATTTCATTATGATAAAATTTATATAAACTACAAAATAGTTTATCATAGAGTCTGTTCTAACTCATGGCGACCTGTGTGAGCCAAAGTAGAAGTGTGCTGTGCAGGGTTGGTGTCAACGGACGTCTATGGGTAAATTCTCACTAATAATGCAGATTATCACCCTTTGTTAGCAGCTGAGTTAATAGATGAAAAATATGTTGTCATGTAACCCTGCTATGTCCACTTGCTGTACAGAGGTAATTCATGGTTGCTGTGAAGCCGAATACTGTTACCCATGGTGGACAGTGTTTGGTGAAGCTCTCCAATTAAGCTTGGAAGCAGGAGTGGCATCTACTTCCACAGCAGCTTGCCTCTGGACACCCTATGATCCTGGAAAGAGGACAGAAGTTCTACAGGAATTGTCCAGGACTTTCATTCATAGGGTCACTATGAGTAGCCTGCGACTCTACGGCACTTAACAACAACAACAACAACTATATATTATATAGGATACAAAGTAGATACACACATATTAAGGAAGAGTAAGAAAATATAAAAAAAAATAAATGACAAATTCACGATATTGATCACTTCTGAGAATAGCAAGGTAGAAGAAAATAACTGAAGAAGGTGTGGGAGTTTAACTTTATCACAAGTAGTCTTTATACAACTCTCTGATGCATGGCAAGTAATTGTGAAGATCATGACCTGGATTAGGCACACCTTAGACTGACATCATTGCTTTTCAGTACTCTGGAGAGGTCCCTGACAGCAGACTTTCCCAGTGTAATTCGTCTTTTGATATCCTAATTACTGGTGCCAAGAGTGTTGATTGTGGAGTCAAGCAAGCTGTAACTGTTAACAACCTCAATCTCTTCTCCATTTATCATTGTGTTGCCAATCGGCTCAGTGGTGAGAATCATTGTCTTCTTGATATTGAGCTTCAACTCATATTGAAGCCTACAGTCCTTGACCTTCTGCAGCAAGCACTTCATGTCCTCTACAAGATTGTGTCATCTGAGCAAATCCCGTGGGCTAGTAGTGTGGACTTTTGGGGCAGTGTAGCCGCTATGACCTGCACCATCGAAAAGATCCTGACAGATGCCAAGACGTTGCTGGAAAGGCTGCAGGAGCATGAGGCTGCCGCTCCTGGATAATTTGTTCTGCATACAGACTGAAAAGGTATGGAGACAGGATACAGCTCTGACACACTCTTTTCCTGATTTAGAAGCATGCAGTGTTTGTTTGCTCTGTTCTGAGTACTGCTTCCTAGTCCAAGTACAGATTTCACAAAAGCACAATCACTTGTTCTGGGCTTCACATTTTCCCAAAGGTTAACCACAATTTGTCGTGATCCACAGTCAAACGCTTTGCATATTCAAGAATATAAAGTTTAAAATAAACAACCCATTTTACAAAATGTGAATGTTTTATAATGTTAGGTAATATCTACAAAGAGCTTAACTTACTTTTTCAAAATTCCTAAACAACATAAATTTTTTTTTTACATTTGATGCAAATGTTTACTAGTTTCTTGATTCTGAGAAAGAAAATAAAGTTCCTATAACTTTATTAATAATGAATTTTCTTCAGTAGCCTATAAGTGACTTCATTTCTATATATTCAGTAACTCTATTTGGCTTTTGAAATATCAGAGACATATATGGCCTACATTTTTAGAACAATTTCATAAATAATGTAATATATTGTCTTTTGAGAATGCTAGTATCATTGTCATTTTCAAATAACTCAAATATTTTAAGAGACACAGGAATTTAAATTTATTAGAGGGTCAGCTATGAAATGGTTCTAATTTGATGCCATATGACAACATTATTTTAGTGAGAATCTGGTATACTTTTCCCTTTTTATGTATGCTTGTTTTAATGTGTACTTGCCCTACTTGAATTGTAAATAAAATTCTTGATGTAGAATGTGTATGAGGATTCAAGGTGGAGAGGGATTAATCATGTTGATTGCTGTCAAGTCAAGCCCGACTCATAGTGATTTTCCATAACTATTGTCATTTCTCCAAGTTCGTAGAGTTTCCAGAGGCATGTGGTTTAGGAAATGGATGCCACGCCTGCTTCCAAACCTGTTTTATAGCTGGGAGCTCCACCAGACACTGTCCCCATTAGGAAGCCATTCTGGTATTTGATACCCCAGTGGTCCAAGTTTCAGCCCCACAACAACCCAGGTTACTTCATACTGCACATTGACAAAGAGTGATGTACAAAATGGAAGAATGTGCCCCCAGATAAAACAGCAATAGTTTCACTTACCAGTGCTTAAGTGTTGTCAAGTTGAATACAACAGAGTAAGTTTTGCACAAAAGACCTAAACTCTGTTCTATAACTAACAACATCATTTCTATACATAACTCTGCTCTATAACTAGCATCATTTCTTTACATTTATAGAGTTTAGAAAGTTTGTAGGATTTAGAGGGCTTGTAGCGTTTCCAGAGGTATCTACTTTGTGAAGTGGATGCCACTTCTGCTTCCCAGCATAAATCAATCTGGAAGCTCATCCAAACACTGTACATAATAAGTAACCATTATGGTATTTGACAAGACTATGGAACAGTGTGCAGCATCACAACAACACCAAGATGTTCAGTTCAGCAAATAGGCAGAAGAGTGCTGCGTCATTCAGGGAATATTCATTCAAAAATTAATAAATTTGGTCCGAGGGCCAGAACCCCACTCTTGGGTGGAAATAGCAGTACAACACATGAAACACAACCCCGATAAAGCACATGACCCAAAAAATTCCTCTTACTTGCCCATCCAGACCACCATGTACAAGTGGCGAGAAGCCACAGACTCCCAGAGTGGAGTCGTCCAGAAACCTGGCTGCATTCTCTGCCCCTCCCCCTGGGGGGTTTTAAGCCGTTGTCTTTGAGGAGCCTTAAACCTTAAGCAGAGCCTCAAGGACCCTGCTCTTGGGGGTAAAGAGCAGTACTACACATCAAACATGACCCTGAAAAAGCACACGACCCCCAAAACTTCCTTTTACTTGCCCATCCAGACAACAGGGTTGTACAATTTGTTGGGTGGAGAGAGGAGCGGCTTAAGGAAATGGAAAAGATTCGGTGTGAAAAACAATATATACAAACTTTGTAAGTAAAGTAGGATAAAATAAAAATTTTATTTAAATAAAAAAGAATTTTTAAAAGAATTCTATATTTAACTTCAAGCCAAAGATTCAAAGATAAGGATATTGTTTGTTTGTTTTAAATTTTATTTTATTAATTTTCATGAACTTTAATGGAGATTTTGGATTTCCATTCATTCATTGTTGCATTTTTCTCCCTGCCCACTCTTCCCCCCAGTTCTCTCTTCTCTTTGAAAAGTGAAAAATTCATTCTAGATATGGCCTAAGAAGCTGGATAGATGTTTTCTTCAAAGAAGTGTCTTCTCTTAAGTACTACACTGGCTGTCATAGTCCTAGCCACTTCCTGTCTGTGTCTGTGATTTCCCCCCCTCAGGCCCTACAACAGGTGGGTTTCTTAAGCTGGATGCTGGTTTTTTTATGTCTTCTTGTGACTTTTCTCTCACTGTGGCTTCTCTCAGTGCACAGAAATACACTGCTGAGTCCTCCAGCTGTGAAGAAGAGATGACAAGGTTGATGGATTTAGCTGCCTTTTGGAAGTTCAATGAATAGCGACCTTCAGTTGCATTTTGCTGGTTGTAAGAATCCTGACGAATAAGGAAAATCATCTCCCCACTGCTGGGTTGTTTGTACCAGAATAGGCCAAAACTTGAATCACTGGTATCATATGTGCAGGGCAGAGTAACTGTCTTCTCTTCTTGCACTGTCATTTCTGGTTGATCTTGATTTACCTTCTGGGCAATACTGAATTCTGTAGGAAAAAAAGAATAGGATCAGAAAGTGGTATGGGATACATGGCATAAGACAAAGCGATTCTGTTTTTATATTCTTTTAAAAGTACCCATAAGACAGTTGTGGCCCCAATATTTAGATCAGTACTTATTGTCATTGGGTTTGAACCAATTCATAGCAAATTCTCCACTGGATTTCTGAGGCTGGACATCATACAAAAGGAAATTGCCCATCTTTCCCCTATGGAGCCTCTGGTAGAGACTTATTCTCACTGGGACAGTCCTACCTAAGCATATTAAAGCCAAGACCACCTTCATCACGCTGGAGAGCAACATGCTACAATCCTTTCTCTCGATTGAAAATATCTTTAACTTCTGCCCTCTGCTCTGTCAGATGATCTCTAAAGAGTGAGGAAAGAATCAGTGTGTCATGTGCTGCTGCTGCCCCAGAAAAGGAAACAGGACTTTCCTGGTATGGCAAGTCGCTGTGTGTGTCGTGTCGAACTTCTGTATGCCTTGGCTGAGAGTCTAGCCCCAGACAAACACCTTTTTGATTAATCAACTGTTAATTTTTTTAATGTAACGATTATATCTGAAAATAAATCTGGATAAAGTTTTATGTTAAAATGAAGTCTTAGAAAGAATTCAATCATCTTCTCTACTCAGTGTTCGCATCTATTAAAGCACTGAGTGGAAAAGCAGTTATTTTTAAATGCTACATCTAGTCGATTATGGAAATAACATAGAGGTACTGATCAAATGTCCTCACATCTCTGTATGTTGTTTCTCTAGCCTGCGCCTGAGGATCTTCAGACCACGTAAAGGAATGGCTAATTATATTTTTAGATTTGAATAACAGTTTATAAATGTTACTGACTTTTCGTGTAATAATTTCTAGACTTTTTGTTTTAAAACATTAGTTACTGTTGATTAATTTAATTAATTTACTACAATGTCTAACCAACCCCTTATTTTGTGTAGCCTTCCACTTCACCCAATATATATATATTAATTTTACTCCTTTTTCTCTTCCTACCCTTATTAAATCTTCAAAATTGCTTCTATCAGCATATAAATCTCTCATTAGATTTTTAGAACAAAGTTCTTGTACCATAATTGTCTTTTTGTGACTAGCTTATGCAATTGTAAAATTTTTTCGAGAGATATACATCCATGTTAACAGTATTTCATAAACATTTGATTGTTTTTAGTGGTCTATAATACACCATTGTGTGACTGCATTGGTTTCTTTAGCCATTTGTCCATTAATGAGCTTCCAAATGCACTTTTTCCAAAGTTTTGCTGTTGTAAATGATGCTGCAATAAAAGTAGTTGTGCATATATTGGTTTGTGCACAGCTCTTATTTCTTTAGGATTTATGGTAAATCAAATGGTATTTCTACGGAAACTCTATTAAATTGGATGGGACCATATACAGTCCAAAATGAAAATGAAGAAGACTTTAAAAATATACTGAAAATCAAAGATTACAGTATGGATTACATCGCAACATAAAGAAAATTTAAATCCTTGCAACTGGACCATAAGAAATAAATCGTGAAAATACTGAAGTTGTCAATGATTTTGTTTTACTTGGATCCATAAAAAAGATCCAGAAAAGTAGCCATCAGCGTCAATTGATGTGTTGCACTGGGCAAATCTGCTAAGGAATTCTTTAAAGTGCTCAAGAGAAAGGATTTCTATTTAAAGATTAAAATGTGCCTGACCCAAGCCATAATATTTTCAATTTATTCATATTCATAAGAAAGTTGGCCAATGAATGAGGAGCCATAGAAGAATAAATGCCTTTGATTTATAGTGTTGGTAAAGAGTATTTAACGGACTACCAAAAGAACAAACATCTGTCTTGGAAGAAGGGAGCCAGAGTGCTCTTGAGAGACAAGAATAGAGAAAACATCATTGGGCTTTCTCCTCTGAAACACATGGGTTTTCATGAAGCTAATTAATTTACAAACAAGCTACATCATGATAGATGGGGGAGGGACAGATTGAAACTATCAACAACTTCATCTTACTTTAATCCATAATCAATACACTTTGTCCCAACAATCAGGAGATCAGAAAATGCATTGCACTAGGAAAGTCAGCAGTCAAGGACATCTCTAAATTATTGAGGAGCAATGATGTTAGTTTAAGGACTAAGGTGCACTTGATTTAGACCAAGGTCTTTTCATTTACTTGCTATGCATCTGAGAGTTTGGCAATGAATAAGGATGAATAATAAGAAGAAATTATGCCTTTGAAGTGTAGTGTTGGAGAAGAGTAAATATCTCATGGACTGCCAAAAAAACAAAGTTATGGCTTGGGAAAAGTGCAGCTAGTTGGAAAAAGTTTTTTATGAGCACAGAGCTTTAATCTTTAGAAAGTCCCATTCATCAATTTTATCCTCTACAGATTGTCTTTATCAATCTCTTTATTCCATAGACTAGCCCTTCTAAGGTTAGTCCCGGTTTTTCTCTTATGTACTTTATGGTTTGAGGCTTTACTTCCAGGTCTCTGATCTACCTTAAGTTGATTTTTTTTTTGTATGGTGTGAGATGTGGATCCTGTTCCAGTTTACTTCAGGTAGCAGTCCAGTTTTGCCAACACCATCTGTTGAAGAGGTTATCATTTCTCCATTTGGTAGGTTTTATTTCCTTGCTCTGTATCAGTTGACCATAGATAGCTGGGTCCATTTCTGGATTCTCAATTCTGTCCCATTAGTCTATATGCCTGTCACTGTACCAGTACCATGCAAATAAATAAAAACAACAATGAGATAGCATCTCATCCAAGTAGCAGTGGCAAAATTTAGTAGGGAAGCAAGCAATAAATGTTGGAGAGAATATAGAAAGGTGGGAATTCTCATATATTGTTGGTGGGATTGTAAAGTGGTACAATCACTCCAGAGAGAGTTTGGCATTTCCTCAAAATGTTGAACATAGAAACTCTGTATGAGCCAGCTATTCCACTACTAGGAATATACACCAAGGAAATTAGAACTGAGACATAAATAGAGATTTATACAGCAATGTTCATAGCAATGTCATTCATGATCACAAGAACATGGAAACAGCCCAAATGTCCAACCACTACTGAATGGGTTGAGAAATTGTGGTACGTTCACACAATAGAATAAATGTTATGCAGCACAAAGGAGAAACAACGGCAAAAAATACTACATAACTTGAAAGAAACTGAAGAGCATTATGCTAAGTGAACTAACTCAGTCTCATCAGGACAAACACTGCATAAGAAAATTATTGTAAAAATAGAAGGATAACAAGTAAAATATGCATGAAAACCCAAGGGGGGAAACAGTTGGAGAGGAGGGAAGAGGATGGGTTGGGGAGAAATTACAGGGTTGCAGTTTGATGGGTGAAGGGAGGGGATGAAGGAAATGGGAAGAATCTGGGTGAAATAACAGGGCAATGATGGGCAAGGTCCAACAGTGATTAATTTTATAAAATATAATGAATGAGAATGATTGTATGAAACACAATATGAATGAAGAATAGTGTAAAACACAATGCATACAAACTTTGTAAACAAACTAATATATAATTTTTAAAAGGGAGGAGGGGATTGTTTTAAAAATGCAGCCAGAGTTCTTCTTGGAGGTAAAGATGGTAAAGCTTCATCTCACATAGTTTGGACATATTGTTACTAGCAGCTACTCCTTAGAGAGGAATATTGTGCTTGGAAAGACAGAGGGAAGGGGAAAGAGAGGAAAACCCTCAACCAGCGGGATTGACACAGTGATTGCAATGGGTTCAAGAATGTTCAAGATTGTGAGGATGGCACAGGGTAGGACAGGATTCAGATATGTTGCTTATACGGTTGCTATGGGTCGTACTTGACCTGATGGTACCTAAAAGCAACAATATGGAAAGTATATTTTTCTAGAACAATTATGCAAAGTCTACCTTCACTTTTAAACTTTTGTTACAATATAAAACAAACTAACAACAATCAGTGGTAATGTGAGGGAAATAATAAAAGTAGTTGAAGTGTTGAAATACAATATTGTCCTTTCTTATTTACATAGTTTAAATAGAATTTAGCATAATTACCTTCTCCATAAAGATAAGCCAACCAGCTAATAACTAATAATCATAACTCAGACAAAATGGATCATTATCTCATTACTAATTGCCAGTTACATCCAACCTAAAGAAGAATGTTGCGTTTAGGTGCCATCAAGTTGAGTACAACTCAGAACGACTTTCCTATCCTGTGCCATCTTCATCATCTTTGATGCACTTGAGTCCATTGCTGGAGTCGTTGTGTCAATCTCTCTTGTTGGGAGTCTTCTTCTCTTTTCTTGATCCTCCACCTTTCCAAGTATAATGTACTTTTCCAAGAAGTGACCTCTTTTAATCACTTGCCCATAGTATGTGAGATGAAGCTTTACCATTCTCACCTCTAAGGAGCACCCTGGTTGCATTTTTTTAAGACATTCCTGTTTGTTTTCTTGAAAGTCCATAAAATATTTAGAACTCTTCTCCAGAATCGCAACTCAAAGGCAAAATTTTTTCTTCTGTCATTTTTAGTTATTGTCCACTTTCAGATCTGAAATTAGTGATTGAAAAGATGATTACCTGAATCAGGCACATTTCAGTCTTCAAATTGACATCATTGCTCTTCAGTGACTCGACGGCATGTAACAACAACATACCTACACCAAGATGCTGTTGTCTGAAAGGAGTAAGGAAGCACAGCATGGTTTAAAAGTGAGAATGTTGTGTGTTACTGTTATTTCCTTTCTCCATACCTATTTGATCTACTGAGCAAATAATTCATGACTCTTGACTATATGTAGGGAGCTCTGGTGGCCATTCTGAACCTTTCACTATCCTGTGCCATCCTCATCATCTCTGACACACTTGTGCTCATTGCTGAAGTCACCATGTCAATCCATTCTGTTGAGGGTCTTCTTTTCTTTCACTGACCCTCCATCTTTCCAAACATGATGTCCTTATCCAAGGAAGAGCCTCTCCTAGCTACATGTTCAAAGTCTGAAAGATGAAGCTTCATCATCTTCACTTTCAAGAAACTTGGATACTGACTATACTTTTTCCAAAACATATCTACTCAGGGTTTTTTGCAGTCCATGGGATAGTCAGTACTTTTCTCCAACACAACCCAAACGCTTCAATTCTCCTTCTGTCATCTCTATTCATTGTCCTGCTCTCTCATGCATAACAGGTGATTGAGATAATCAAAGCCTGAATTAGGTGCACCTTAGTTTTTAAATGGACATCATTGCACTTCAGCATTTTTGAGAGGACCCTGATTTCCTGGCTGTTGATGCTAAGGATGTTGAATGTTGATCC